AAAGAAAGAAAGAAAATGTATTACATGCCAAAGGGGATTTCTAACAGGTCTATTAGCAGAAATACTAACAAAAACTCCCAAATTCAGCCTATTGATGGATCTTTCTAATTCTCCAAAGTCATAAGATAGTAAGCTTTCTCAAGTAAGCTTTCCAGGAGACAAACATGTAATACAGTGTCTAGAAACCTTGCTTAGTGTACCTCTGAACTTGCTGTCTCTGAATGTATATGTTCTTACTATACAATGTGTCATACAAAGAAAACTACACGGTGCCCCTTTAGCAGCTCAGCATCTTACACATTTAAATGCCATTCATTTTAATATCTACCTTAAAAATTCTGTAGTGTGTTTTTCTCCAGATGAGGAAACAGATAAAGAAGCTAAGTGATGAGCCCAAAGCACCATGTAATCCAGCCCCTCACCATCCCTGACTCCCAGCTTACCTGTGGTCTCCTCCCAGTGTGACACAGCTATAGCCATCTGACACAGCTCTACTAACCACCTCAGCCAGTTCCTGGTTGGCAAGACCCACTGAGCGTGGATTCACTATTAGGTTGTTGTAGAGATCATCTTTGGGGACTGGAGTAAAACTCAGATCTCCAAAGTCTTTTAGGTGGCAGCCTGGAAACAAATGAAGGATGACAAGATGAATTTTCTGTGCTATCTCCAACTCTTACTCACCTGGGCCACAATGATAATATGTGACAAAGTACACATCATAATCATTTTGTCACAGTAAAATTTTAAGTGTCAAATGATTGTGGGAAAGTTATCTTAAGCCTATTATAAACACTGTTTTGCAGATGTTGGAAACTGAAACCAAGAGATGTTGATTGACTTAAACTAACGATAAAAAAAAAATGGTAACAATTAGACCTCAGATACCCAGAGTGATCAAGTAGAAATATCAAAAAGAACCAGCAATTTTAAAGAAAATAAGAATTTTTTAAAGTACTATTAATTTAGCAAAAATATACAAAGAGATTCTCTTTTTTTAACTTTTTTTTTTTTTTTTAGAAATGGGGTCTTGCTATCTTGCCCCAGTTGGTCTTGAACTTCTGGCCTCAACTGATCCTCCTGCTTCAGCCTCCCAAAGTGCTGGGATTATGGGGATGAGCCATCATGCCTGGCTAAGAAATTCATGTTATAAACTTTTATAAATAAAAAGCCAGTCTGAAACATCCTAAAAGAAATATCTAACATTTATTGATTACTTGCAAGATCCCAGGCATTGTTCTAACTGCTTAACATAAATTCTTATTTAAGACTCAGAACAATTCTGTGAGGCAACGAAAATGTGCCTATTCTGTGGATGAGGAAACTGAAGCAAAGAGAAGCAACCGCCCAAGTTCACACAGCTGGTAAGTGCCAGAATCAGGATCCAAATCTAGGCCATCTGTCTCCAAAATGTGTACAGGTTGAGTGCTCATTATCCAAAGGCTTGAGACCAGAAGTTTTAGATTTATTTTTTTCAGATTCAGATTTTGGAATATTTGCATGCGTGCTCTCTCTTGTGTGCGCTCTCTATTATTTGTAGAGACAGGGTCTCACTGTGTTGCCCAGGCTGGTCTCCAACTCCTGGACCCAAGTACTTCTCCCAGGATGGCTTTCCAAAGTACTAAGATTACAGGTGTGAGCCACCATGCCTGGCCTAGTTATAAGCATAATACGTAACACTATTTTAAGTAAGGTTACTAGAGTAAGTTAACTGCTATAGCAACTCCCCCAAAATAATGGCTCAAACATAGTTTATTTCTTCATTTAACATCCAGGGTAGGTATTCCAGGTCAGCAGGAGGCTTTCCTCCATACAGTAATTCAGAGACCTGACTTGGGGCTCCCATACCTAGGGCTTTGCAATCTGTGTGGCTAAGTCTAGATCTCCCCAGGTTCAAGGCAACAGGAGAGAAAGAATTGAGAAAGCACATCTGCTCTTTTCAAAATCCTGGCCTGAAAGTGGCACATTACTCCTGCCTACTTTTGGCACTGGCCAGCAAACACAGGTCTAGCTTATGTCCAGAAGAGGATGAGAATGGATTTTGGTGGACAGCTAGCAATCTATGCCTCAATGAGCACTTTTTTATTCTACTGCTATAATCTTTAAGAACAAAATATGAAAGTTTATGTTGCTCTAGGATTACAAATTTATATTAAACTATTCTAGTTAATTACAGAACTGAATCAACAAATATATGATGCCCTCCTGATGTCACCTCGTAAGAGCTTTCTCTACTAATGCCCACTGTGCCAGTAGTATTGAGGTAACCAAAGGACTGGAAGAGCAGAACTCTAGTTCTAGGATTATCTGAACCCTGGTTCTAGTATGTTGTAGAGAACATGAATTGTAACCCATCTGCTACAATTATTTTTAAGAGGAGTGAGGAGGATGATGGGAGGTTAACTTTTTGTAAGAGCAAAATGAACTGAGTAATATTAAAA